GGGGGGGGGTAGGCAGCAAATGTAAACGTATAAATCAAGCTCGACGATGAGTTATAGAAAACAAAAGGCAAAAAGACAACAAACCAATAATCTATCTAGCCGCACATTCCATAGGCTTCAAGCTAATTTGACCAGTGGGATGCAGGAAAACAAATTTCCCCCAAACAACAACAATAACATCAATTAAATGCATTTGTGAATTAGATTGTGTTTTGGGTTTTTTTCGAAACACCCAGACCATCAGTAACGACGATGGAAAATCTTTAGGAATTCGAAAATATTGAGAGATCTAAATTATATAGCAATGTTCCCATGGATGTGTGGTAGGATTTAAAAGGGGTCAATTGAAAGGTTATTTGCCATTGTTGAATTCAAAAACGTATGCAAGAACAAAACACTACCTTTAACACAAAGTTGTGACCTACGATGGCATGTAAGAAATTGTTTATGATGTTTAATTCCTAGTACGCAAGTAATCCAGTTCAATGGTATTTTTGTCTTCCCTCAGATATACTGAATCTAGCAGGCTATGAAATTTTACGACTCAATAGGAAGTAATTCAGAGAACAACAAAGATTCCCTCGCAGATCTGAGGTCTGAAAATGTACGACTGGACTAAAATTGAACCAGCCATCTCCGAATTCTACTCAGATGTTTCGCCACCAAGATTTGTGAAGAATAGCTTTATCAGTATTATTGTTCAGTCATTTGTTTACAAATGATACATATCAGTTTTTATGCAACTTCGCTCAGTGACCAGCTGACTTCAAACAGGGACCAGCGGCTACTTCAAGTGAACTACATAAATTGTTATATTTCCTCAATGGTTTGGACTCCATGTGCTAAGGAAAGATACATTTCTACGCAGGGTGAAATGTAACACTTTTAAACACTCAACTAAATTCTTCTGAATGATCGCAGTGACGCAGTGATCAGACACTTGATATTGGGAGCAGCAGTTCCAGTTTGGTTTTTTGGTCTGCTAGGTTGAATGTGGATTTCGGCCACTCAGTTGACTGTGAAGTCACCCTCCTTTCTCTCACAATTTTTCCTCAAAAAAGTAACCGGTTAGGTGAATAAAATTCGGTATCCGTAAACCTGTTCTGAATCCTTCGTGCGTCCAATGAAATTCTTAAATTGATGCCGGACGATCCATTGTTTCATTGTTTGATTAGGATAAATTACAATAGGGACACCTCTTGTTGGATCGATTTTTCTGGGCTATTCGTTGCTTTCAAACATGGGAGGAAACCTCTAAGACCTATGGCATTATTGATCAGTTGGCCGATGGTGCCTACTACTATGCGCAATCACACACGCATGTCACGTGAAATTACTCTACTTTATAATGGATTGGTTTCGACCAATCAAATTTCAGCGCTAACCCGCCCCAGTTAATTGGTTTACTTTACTGTCCCGCACTGCCATTACATGTAATGCCCATGTTTTCGGTCAGCAATACGCCTGCGTGCCTGCATGCTTTGCTTACGTGTATTTCGTTTTGTATCCTCATGATTGCTTTCGAAAGTGTTGATACTAATAAACCGAACCACCTGTTCACTGCGTTTTCTTACAGTCACGTACACCACTTCGTTGATTCAACGAAATCAGTGGTAGTGTCAATGAACCCCGTAGNGCAGAAGTAGGTATAAGTAGCAGAACTTCAAGGCATGCTGACATTATCTGAGTGAGGCAGTAAAACATAAGCAGTCGTTTCCTTGAGGAATTTATTCCCATCCAAAATAACCCACTGGGCAATACTCAACTACTGTTTCCGCAGTACAGATAGGTGCCCGGTAGATAATGTGGAAGAATAACGAATAAATGAAAAAAACTAGCGGAAAAGCCAGTTGGCAGACAACACTGTACTCTGTAACACAGAACCCCATAGTCTTTGAGGCACAGGTGTTCACGGACACCTTACACGACTGCTGATGAACATATGGTAGCCTGTCTGTGATAGTTTGGTGCCAAACTACTGGGACTTTCGTGTCGATCACACCGAGTTCAAAATTATTCTGTAGAGCAACATTATACCGATTCTGTTCCAGACAATTTCGGTGCATCTCATTGGATAACCACTGCACACAAATGCTATGTTTGTAATAGGGCGGAGGGGTGGATTATCAACTGAACATAGCTGTGGATGGGGGAAGGGTCATCGAGGTAAAGTGTGGTGGTGAATGTCTTTTTATTGACACAAAATGGGTTTTCATCGCTTGATGATCATCTTGATCATCTTGACACTATCTTTGGAATAGGCAATTTTAAAATGTTTTCCCTGTATCGATAACTTGTTGCGTCATTAACAAAGGTTTTGTAAGTGGTTATCTCAGTGCGCATGACCCATGTCGATAACCGGCTGGGTAGATTCTGATCTAGCAACGCAGAGTTGAACCCAGTTTGGGGTTCGCCCTAAAACCCTATTACGTAATAGCTTTCCTGTCCTGCCTACGTAGGTGGCCTCGCACCTACACGGGGATTCGCGGATAAAGTTGGATTCGGTTTACAGAGGCTGGCGTAGAGTTTGAGGCGGTCGCGGTCGTCCACTGGAGCAAGTGATCGACCTTCATAGATTACCTTGGTTGGGGCATGTGTTACGCATGTTACCAAGTAGGTTGCCATGGCTAGCGATATCTGCCAAGGCAGGTTGTGGATGAAAAAAGGTCAAGGGTGGTCAACCGAAGACCTGGCAAGAGGATATGAAAACCCTGACCAGAACGCCGGGTCACATAGACCCCGTTAGGGACCCTGGTTGGGGACTGCGAGATGATGGTCACCGATGGTTAGAGACACTCAGCGATATAGCTAGGTGTCACAAACAGTGACCCTCATGCACCTACTCATTATTCTCTTAGAACCACTCTATGCGAATTCTCCTTCTTCCGCTTGCATTTTCATTCAACATTTCAATCTTTATTCTGCTCTTTTATCCAAAAGGGGCACCAAAAGACAGCAACCGAAATCGGTGCACGAAAATGCATGATAAATGGTTGTAAAAAATGAAACTGAAACTGAGACATGCATCCTTTAAACAGGGGATGAGTATGCTTCTTATTCTTCGCACAATTCTGAGCTGGCCTTCATAATACGTCAGGTTGATGACCGATTCGCGGAAAAGATTGGTTGGACCACCACCTTTAAATAGAAGATATAAACCGTGACACTGACGCAGCAACTGGCATTTCGATCTTTGGCCTCGAGATAATCATTCTCGTCCACCTTTCATAATAGGCGCATTTCGTTTTATCAGTGCTGATTCGTCGGGTTCCATCGAGTGGGACATAATCGACACCACATTTCTGTTCACTTAGCAAAACATTCGACAGATTAATGTAGACAAGTCAAATTCAACTAGCTCCGTTTTGTTTCAGGTACACTAAAAGCCAACTCGGTACCCATCAATTGGTAGTCCGATCGGGTCTTAATGAGCTGAAAATCACAGAAAATTTCAAGTTGCTTTGGTGCTCCTTTTTCTTTTGAAGTGTTCACCTCTTATGTTTAGGTAGAGAGAACATACAAATGCACTCGGGAACAGAAGCCAACTTCAATGAGCTATCTTTGCTCATGTAGATCTTTGTAAGTTGAAAGTGATTGGTCGAAATGTGACTTTGTGAGGCAAGAAAGTGAAAAATGAAACCCAAGAAAACAATGCAAGCGTAGTTTTAGAAACATAATGTTAAATTCATTTGTTTACCGGTCCCAAAGCATTTAACGGGTTTGAACAATGAAGAGTATGGTCGTTGGAAAATTATATATACACCGATAAGTGGCCACGAATGAAATAACCGCTGAGCCAGATCTGCTTTTTGCTTTCACGGCAAAACACCAGTCGGTAGCAGTAAAACTACCTCCGAAATTATTACAGTCTGTTTGCTCCATCTCATTTATCAGGTGCTGGATACCGGTATCATTAGACTAGCCTGAGTTCACAGACTCAGCAGAGCGGCTCGACACTAGCGAAACGTCCCCAGTTACGAAGAATCTGAACACATTTCATTTCACATCATCNACATCATCGCACGAAAATAATAAAGCATTGATCAACAGTTAACCACAGAGATCGGACAAAAAGGTCACCGATAACCGGTTGTTAAACAGAACAAATGTGACTGGGAATGACAGCACTGACCGCCAACTTCATCACTGTGGGAGCTGCGAGGTTAGGATTTAGATAAATTGCAATCTGCTCTATTTCGCTTAATTTCACCAGCCTCCGGTTTTCTAAATTTATAATCTCTATTGATTTTCGTAATGCGTACACATAGATAAACATACACGCAAAAAACGTTTCTCACATGTGTTTGATTTCTCATATTCAAACAGTTGTTGATACAGTCTGCCAGATGTGCAACGTGTACACTCAAATAAAACAATCAATCACTTTGTATCAGGGTGCGCTAAAACCTGCATTTTACTAAAAATAAAATTCATTTTGGTGCATCGGATGAAACAGTAGTGAATATGTCAGCGTTTAGTGAGAACGGTAGCTTCTCCAGTCCTACCTGCCTCTTTGACAATCCCTGCGTTGTTTTCCGATATGTTGATGTATGATACGGTTGAATTGCGATCGAGAACCCGATCCACAGGACTGAGTTCCGTGTTTTCAGCTGTCTTGTCCTCTGTTCTTGGATCCGGTTTCGTGTATGCCGAGATCGCATCAGTTTCCACAAGTGTTGGAGCACTTATTGATTGCAAAATGCCATTTTCGTTCTCTTGACTCACGCGAATCGGTTCACGATCCTGCTCCGCGGTCGGAATAGTTGTGCTGGTGTTCGGCATCATTGTACCGTTACTACCACTGGTGATGGGGTTACTTTCAGGGATATAAATAGTAGTACTAGTAGTCGTACCGTTAGTAATAGAGGTACTAGTCGTAGGAGTGGTAGTGATAGTGAAGGGAGTGGTGGTGGTGGTTGCGGTGGTGGTGGTGATGGTGGTGACGGTAGTTTCATCATGTGGCTCCGCGGGGTTAAAGACTGAGGGGAGATAGATATTCGGTAGGATTTCCGATTCCGGAACGGTTAGATCATGATCCGGAGGCTGGGGGGCGTCCGACGGAGGAAATTCTGGTAGAATAATACTGGAGATCAGACTGCTATCGGCCGGTAGTTTACAAAACTCGCCAGTCCAGCCCAAAGCGCAGACACATATAGCGCTAACGCTATTGCAGAGAAGGACGGTAGCATGGAAGGGAAAAAGAAGGAGAAAAGTTGGTTCAGGTTTTTAGTGGTTTGAAAACCATGTCATGTGACCTAACCAAAACACAAAAAGATCAAAGTTGTTTATTCTCATTTCAGCTTGTATTTACTAGTCATTTCAACTAATTTTAACCATTCATATGCGGTTTTCGTCCAAGAAATGCGGACACTGGAGAAGTTAGCGTTTTGTTTTGCTGGAGGCTCTCACAATTCTCAGAGGCAAAATGGATAAAACAGAACATGTTAACATTTTTTTGAAGAAAAGCTAGTTCAGTGTGGGAAATCTTTGTGATGACCGACAAAGAGCACCGGACAGCTGTTTCGGACAGTGACAAAAAAGAACGCACTACTGGCAGGTTCCAAACGAGACGAAACAGCTGTCCAGTGCTCTTTGTCAGTCATCACAAAGATTTTCATAGAAATTCAATGCATTTTACTGTGTGTGTGTGTGTGTGTGTGT